AGCACCTCTGGTCACTTTCTGTCAGCACCTCTAGTCACTTTCTGTCTGCACCTATGTGTCTGTTCAGACTTAAAGGGATACTTCACCTGTTGAAACATGAATCTGTATTGACATTGGGTCATATATGTTGTAGAAATGTGAAATACATTTTGAAGTTGGTGCCTTCTTGAACGAGAAAAGGCAGAAAGTGTCTTTTTGGCTCATGTGGATGAAAGACACCAAATCCCAGAATGCACAGCACCTCAGCCCACTCCCACTAAGGTCCTCCAGTTTAGAATCAGAAATACTTTCTTAATCCCAGAGGTAAATTCAATCGTTACAGTTTCTCCAAAATATACACTATAGCAGTAGAAATGTAGTAATAAAAACATTTACAGACATATTTACTTGAGACTGTTTCCTCAACTGATTCAGAGATTTCTTCAAGAAGGACATGGCAGACTCTATGTCTGTGTCCATAGGCAAACAGTGAGAGCAACAACACTACCAGTCCGCCATCTCGCTGCTATATTTATATTTTTTCGCCATTATCAGCTTTCTCCATAGAGCCTGTTAGCATAGCTTCCAAGCAATATGGCGGACGTTAAGTTTCGATTCTGGGAGTGAGTTCCCACCCACTGATCTGTGATTGACAGATTGGAAGCTCCTTGTCAGACTTAAATACAAAGATTTCCCATCTCAGAGGAAAATGAGGGCGGGATGCACTACCATTCAAAAATACCACAATGTTTCTAATGATACAAAGCTTAATGCAAATGAGCGAAGTTTCCCTTTAAAGCTGTTTCTTTGCACTTCCTGTCGTTGTTTCCTCCTCTCTCTCTCTCTCTCTCTCTCCTTGCTTACATGAATTGTAGATTTTGTAGTTGAGGTGGTTCAGGGCTGATTTCGGATCCTTCTGGTCGCCTCCCTTTGGAGGTTTTACGGGGCACATCCAACTTGGAGGAGAACCCGGGGTAGACCCAGAGCTCTCTTTAGGGATTACATATCCCATCTGGGATGCCTCAGAATCCCCCAGGAGGAGCTGGAAAACGCTGCTGGAGAGAGGGACGTCTGGGTCGGCTTGCTTAGCCTGCTGCCACTGCGACCCGACCCCGAGTGTGAGGGAAAGCTCTGCACACAGCGCCCATCCTTTAAAAGGTGTTTGTTGCACCAAGTTAGAGAGGTAACTGTGATTCATTAATAAACAGAAGGCTGCTGTTAAAGAAGTATTTCAGTTCAGAGTATGTATCAGGTTGTGATCCATGCAGAGGAAAAACAAGATTATTTATGAAATATAAAAATATGGTCCTTTGATTTAACCTGGTGTGTTATGTTCAGGTGACCTCAAGAATCCGGAGCTCTTCCAGTACGGAGACGAGACGATGCATGCCTGGATGGAGGGTCACCTTAGTGAAGACATCACCGCCGAGCACAAGAAAGTGGAGGCGGCAGAGCTGATCATCTTCCAGGTCAGAGGTCACAATCATAGCATCACTTTTAACTTTTTTATGTTTAGATTTATTTTTGGGCTTTTTGTGCCTTTATTGGAGAGATAGGACAGTGGATATAGTCAGAAATCAGGGAGAGAGAGATGGGAATGACATGCAGGAAAGGAGCCACAAGCTGGATTTGAACCTGGGCTGCCCGCTTTGAAGACTACAGCCTGAATACATGGGGCGCACGCACTAACCACTGCGCCACCAGCGCCCCAATTAGAGCATCACTTTTATCTGCAAAGAGCTTCAGTTCGTCCAGAGCTCAGACACGGAAAACGAAACTCTGCACAAAATATGCCTCTGTTTAAATGTTCTGATTCCAGGTTCTGTGTGTGTGTGTGTGTGTGTGTGTGTGTGTGTGTGTGTGTGTGTGTGTGTGTGTGTGTGTGTGTGTGTGTGTGTGTGTGTGTGTGTGTGTGTGTGTGTGTGTGTGTGTGTGTGTGTGTGTGTGTGTGTGTGTGTGTGTGTGTGTGTGTGTGTGCAGTTTCCTCTGTACTGGTTCAGTGTTCCTGCCATCATGAAGGGCTGGATAGATCGAGTCCTGACTCAGGGCTTCGCTTTCTCCCTCGAGAAGATTTACAACAACGGGATATTCAAGGTCTGTTATGTTTCATAATAAATAAAACCTGTTGGTTCTCCTTGAATTTTACTGCTATCAAATTCCACTATACACCTCTACTGACAGGGTCCCAGAAGGGGGCGGGGCCATCCCCAGGTGGTGTCAGGGTAACAGTTAGAGAGGGAGAGGATCACAGTTTTTTAACAAAAATATGTCTGACACATGTTTGAGCCTCTGAGCGAAACAGGAAGTGAAGAAGGAAGTGCCGTCCTGTCAGTGTGAACCAAGCTTCAACCTCAGGTGTTGAAAAATGAAGCGGTTCAAAATCCTGCAGTTCCTCGAGTGTCCACTAGAGGCTGGCTGCAGAAGCACAGGAAGTCACATACACACCCATTCTAAAAGGCCTGTTTTTACAGCAGAGATGAACATGTTTACAGCCTGGTTAAAAAAGCAAATAGGTCTGATTAGCTCATGTCTCGATTGACACACACTGTACGGGAGGTGAATGTTTTGATGACTCATCAGTTTTAATTTGATGAAGGGTAAGAGTTATTCACAATAAGGCGTGTAGCTGACCTGGTTGACAGGTGGGCGCGGTGTAACGGTTTGTCAGGAGGTTTAAAACCCGCCTCAGCTCCAGCTCTCAGCCTGTTGTTAGGTTGACTGAAAGTTAGGCTGAGACAGCATTTCCAGCATGGAGACCGCCATCGATGGGACTCCAGCGCCCCCTGCAGGAACAGACGGGTGACATCACTCAGCCTTCAAAGTTCATATTTACAGTCTGTGATGTGAACACAGAGCTGAGAACAACAAACCCAGAGGAAGTCTGACTTCACTCTCTTTAGGAAGTCATTACTCACTGATTTTTTATAGTTGGAATATATTTGGTATCATATTTAAAATGTTGCACAGCATGCCTTTAACCGCAGTTAAATCACTAATAATGAAAAATCTATCTGATATGAACTCTTGATCACTCTCTTGTTAACTTTCTCTCTCTCTCTCGTCTTCACGATATGTCTCCTCATACTGATGAAAAACGCTTTATTTTCTGTCTCATTGAAGGATAAGAAAGCAATGTTGTCTTTCACTACGGGAGCCACGCAGACGATGTTCAGACCCGACGGCATCAACGGAGACATCAACGTCATTCTGTGGCCGCTGCAGGTCAGCAACAGAATACGTGGATAAAAACCAGCACGCCTAAATATGACGACGTGACTGAGAATTAAAGATAACGATTTAAAGGGAAGTCATCCTTGTTTTCTAAATTTTTTTGTCTCTGTTGTTTTCCCCCTGTCAGAACGGGACGCTGCATTTCTGCGGCTTTCAGGTTCTGGCTCCTCAGATCTTCTGGAGTCCGGCTCACTGCCCTCCTGTCGCGCGAACCGCCATGTTGGACGGGTGGCAAGCGCGGCTGAAAGGCTTGCTGGAAGAGAAGCCTTTGACCTTCGCCCCCTGTGAGCTCTTTGACCTCAGCTTTCAGGGGGGGTTCATGTTGTGGCCGAAGGTGAGGGAGGAGAGAGAGTCACAGCCATACGGCCTCACCACGGGACACCACCTGGGTAAACCGCTGCCCCCCGACAACCAGATCACCGCTCAGTCCACCGTAGAAAGTAGTGCCAATGCAGACTGCAGGAAGTAGGACCGTCCCATCCCTCATGTGCCTGTAAACCTGCTCGCTTTTATACTGAAATATAAGGTTTTATGTTTACTGAAACTAAATAAAACAGTTTTAAAAACTTTACCTGCTGCCCTGTTTCTCTCCCTCTCTGCTCCTCTCGTCTCCCTCCTCCCTCTGCCTGCTGCACAACTCCATGACACTAACGACCCATTCAAAGATTTAGAATATGTAACTCTGACCCCTAATGTTGAAAATGGGTACTTCAGTCCAAATTATAAACATTGTAGAGAGCTGTTAATTAGTCCGTGCACACAGCCTCGCTTCACTCTCCTTTCCTCTGCGCTCAGACTGCCTTTTGTACACACTCACTACACATCTTACTGATTGATGCTTTCAGGTTGTCATTTACTCCTTCAGTACTTTTACGTACCACACATTTTGAACGCTGGCAGAGTTTGCCTGCATTTTTTTGCAATAAAAATCAAGACATTTAACTCTAATAGATGGCCCTGGGTAGTTATTGCTAATTTCCCCCCTCCCTAGAGCAGCCATTCCCCTTTTACACTTCCTGTGCATTTTGTTCTGCTCCACCTTCAGGGGTTAACTTTGAGTTCTCTGCATGTCCTTCCTGACAGCAGAGTTGGATCTCAACTGTTTCTATCAGAATATTTGGCCTGGAGAAGTCAAACAGACCTTTGCCGGCCTCCAAAATACTCAAAGGCCCAGTGAAAACGTTGTGGATCAGGGCTCTACACCGCCACCTGCTGGCATGGATCTGTTATAGTCTGACTTCAGGCAGGCCCTGAATCACCAAGCAGACTTCTCCTCTGTGTGTATGTTTTACCTTTATACCTCTGTGTTTTGTTAACTTATGCACACGACTTGATTATGATCATATGTCATGCAAAAAGTAAGGTTAATGGATAAGTCTATTTGTAGAAATTAAAGGGTGGTGACTGTTTAACAAGAATCAAACTTTTAATCTATCAGTTAAAAAGTTAAATTATTGGAATAAAAATCATTTCCTTGTGTATAATGAAAACAATCAGCAGAAGTATGAGATATACAGAGCAGTTTATGGTTCTGTTTATGTTCCTCATTGGGAGTGCAGCACTATGGAAGAGCGAAGGGGAGGATGTCAAAATGTAGCGAATCAAAATTAACGGATTTATCACCAAAAGTTAAAAATGAAACAAAAAAACATCAAACTGCCTCAGCGCAGAGACAGTAAATTAATTTCATGCTCATAACGTCGGTATAAAAGGAAAGCTCGTCCTCTTTCTTTAAGTCGCCCACCCCTCCTCTCTGCGGCGGAATGGAACAGTCCGCGTCTGACGTCATCGGCGGGGCCGTGCTCAGAGGGCTGATAGTGAAGAGGAGGTTGTTGTTTGTTGTTTTGATCGAGAGTTTGAGCCGTCGCGTCGTTTCTTTAATTTAACGCTTACGTTTAAAAAGCACAGCTCACGGTAAACACGTCGACACACTGTAAACCGCGTTAATAAGCTGCTACATCGAGCGGGAAGAGCCCGGAGACGGCAAACATGAAATGGATGTTCAAAGAGGATCACTCGTTGGGTAAGGGAGGAGGAGGGTGTTGTTATGGTGGCAGGGGGGTCAAAACATGTCTACGCAGTTTAATTTCTGAAGTGTCAAGTTTGTTTTTGTGTCACAGGTGAATATATATGAAGGTTACACTCGGGATAAAATCTCTAAAATGTCCGTGTAGCTCACAAACGGGCCTCACGTTAGCTGCAAGCTGCGTCGACACAAACGTACAAATTAAACCCTTTAGATGTGAAAGTCAGCTGATTTAAATATCACACAGTCTGTCTGCATGTTGAAGCAGACGTGTTGGCTCGGTGCACATCGACAGATCATCGTGTCTTTGTTCAGACACAGTCATAAACTTTGTGCTGATGGAGGATGTCGACACATTAAGCTGTTAATCCTCCTGAGAGATAAAATCACAGATATCTGTGTTTGGCACTTCTCAGCCACCGTAGGGTCTCTAGTCCTAAACACCCAGTGTTTTGATAGTTTATTTATTTTTTGATCATTGGTCTCGTTTAAATCGTTGTTCGTTGTTGTGGTTTTGGTTCTGAAGCGTTTACAGTTGGTCGTTGTAGTTCAGCCGTTTGTGAATCCCCTAACACCGATCTGTGTGTCCGTGACCTTTGACCCTTCGGGTTTTGTGCTAAACAGAAAGTAAGACCTGTGCATTTTATTTTCGTAAAACGTGAATGTTATCTCTAATGTCGCTGTTTTTATTTCTTTGTCTTTCCAGAACATCGATGCATAGAGTCCGCCAAAATCCGCAACAAGTACCCTGACAGGGTCCCGGTGAGTTTCCTTTTGTTTTGTGTGTCTTTTGTTATGTAGAAATTAAAGTGAATAGAGTCAGAAATCAGGGCGAGAGGGGGTGGGGGACGACATGCAGGGAAGAAGCCACAGGTCGGATTTGAACACGGGCAACCACTTGGAAAAGATCTAAGAAGAACTACAAGATACCAAGAGAACTACAATATCACAAGAGAACTACAAGATTACCGAAGAACTACAAGATCACAGGAGAACTACAAGATCACAGGAGAACTACAAGATCATAGGAATAAATAGAAAACGGTGTAAACAACATGTTGCTCTGTCCTTTTGAGGATGATTCGTTGTTCTTTCACCTGTTTTGACGTATCAATCATTGACTGGAATGGCAGCAAATGGTGATGTAATGGGTGGCGTTGACGGAGGATGGAAATGGGAGTTATTGTGTCTAATTGTGTGTGTGTGTGTGTTTCAGGTGATAGTTGAGAAGGTGTCGGGATCACAGATCACAGACATCGATAAGAGGAAGTACCTGGTCCCCTCTGACATCACGGTGGCTCAGTTCATGTGGATCATCAGAAAACGCATCCAGCTGCCGTCGGAGAAGGCCATCTTCCTGTTTGTGGACAAGACCGTGCCTCAGTCCAGGTCAGGACCCGCCCCCGTACATTCTCTGTTCTCTACATGAGTTTTAAAAATACTGAGCTTTTAAAAACAAACTGCAGGGCCTGTAGTCACACACAATCCTCTCAGAGAGCTCGGCTTAAAGAGTTCCAGCAGGGGGCGTAGCTGAAGCCAGCGTCACATGAGACGATCCTCTAATCTCCATTTTGAAAACATGGAGACCACAGACACGAGGACAGTTTCAGTCGATGTTCAACTTTATAAACAACAGAACGCACACACCGGACAATTCAGCCCACACACCTGCTGTTTAAAGTTACGATTCACAGACACGAGATCTCACAGAAACCTGCGAGATCAAACGTGACTTCAGAAGATAAACAAATATGAAATACGTACGACGTCGTCAGCTAGCTGTCCGGCTGTGTGACACCAAAACGTTTAGCCACGTTTTTAGACAACGTGCACCAGCTGGAGCTGGAGCAACTCGATCAGGAGCAGTAAAATAATCGTATGGACAAGCTGATAATCAGGCCTCGCCCCCCAGATAGAGTGAGATTAACCATGATTAAAAACAGTTACTGCATTAATTTCCGACCTTACACGTTAATGCTGACGACCCCTAAAAATATATTTATCTAATTAATGTCCTCATTATTAAGTCCACATGACTTCCTGTCCGAGTCGGAGAACTGTAAATCACTGCAGAGCGTTTGAGCGTTGTTTGTTTTCTCCTTCTAAGCTAACATATGCTAACAGCAGGACCCCCGAGTTCAAGTGACTCCTGAGAGGTTGAAGTTTGAATTTGAACGCCACGTTAACACAGGATTGATCCTCGGAAAAGGAGAGAACATTTAGAGGAAACGAGCAGAACTCTGGAGTCTGCCGTTGCTACTAATTAATATTATTTATTATTATTTATTATTATTATTATTATTATTAAAGGCACCGTCGTCAGAGGGACGGCGTGATATCAGTTCTGCGGGAATGCGTCTGTCTTCAAAACAGTTTGGCGGAAATCATGGTCATGTAAACGGGGCCAAAGTCACGGCAGCATTAAAGACGCTGAACGAAGTGACCCGATTCTTAACTTTGAATCCAGGCCATCGACTGCTTCATAACCCTTTATACCGACCCAGGCGGCGTCCGGGGAGCGATTCTCTGAACCTGTTTACTCTTTAAAACACGTTTCTCCTCGGCGTCTCTTTAGTTTTATTTTCTGTCATCGCTTCTTTATTTTTCAGAGCTGGAGAACAAACAAACATGAACAAAGAAAACCTCCAGGGTTGATTATCTCTGAATGTGAAACTTAAATATCTTTGTTAGAAGTTTGTGATCGTTTCAGTCGACATCTTTGTCAGGCTTTGCTTCTCATTAACTTGTTAGCATTGACGCTAGTTGTAGATGTTAAATGGATGTGACGGATGATGTGGTCACTGTGTCTCTGCTCGTGTTGCAGCATCACGATGGGCCAGCTCTACGACAAGGAGAAGGACGAGGACGGCTTTTTATACGTGGCGTACAGCGGGGAGAACACCTTTGGTTTTTAAACGAGGAGCCATGACTACGACCACTCTGACACCCACCCACATCTAATCACAGCCCCTGGAGAACCGCAGGAAACCCCACAGATATTCAGTGACATGCGCGACCCGCAGCAGCAGCAGTCGGCAGGATGAACACGGCGCGATCACAGCGGCGTGTTTGTTGTGGCCCAGATTAAAGATTGATAGCTTGAGTTGTGTATAGTGTGTGACATTTACGTTGTTGTGTGTGTGTGTGTGTTGTCGTGATTGGAGTGTTTTTAGGAGGAACTTTGATTTGATTTAGTTTGTTTTTCACATTTTTAAATGAAGGCTTGAAGACTTTTTTTCTTTTAGTTCTGCTCTCCTCTTAAACACTTCTTTTAATTTAAACGTTTGAATCGAATAGGAAGACCTAACCAATAAAAAAAAATGAAAACCCAAGACGCCTCTCATTGTTTTTTCATCCAGATATCAAAACACTTAATTGAAGAAACGTCGTGTTTGTATCAGTCTGAAAAAGTTTCAGGAAGTCCTCGAACTTCAAGACGTTAGCGGTGATGATCGTTTCTCTTCTGGAGAAACTAAAGGTCTGATATGTACGATGTAGTGAGAGTCAGTTTGGAACTGTTTGGAATTCTTGCAACAACATTAATTCACTTTGGAGAATAAATACAAAGCTGGGTCTGTAGCTTTCTCTTAAAGGTGCAAAGGGACTCTGTAGATCGAATGGAGTTTGGTAGTTCGTGCCACCACCAGGTATTAGCTCACAAAATGAAACGGAGGTACTCCAGGAGGCGTCCATGTTGCACTTCCAACTTGCAACCGGAACGCGGTTGACTGGGATGTGACGACATTCCCAGCTCCGAGTCCAAGAGTTGTGAGGTAACTGGAACGCACCATTTGGGTTTAAGTCAGCTGTAAGTCCAATCAGGCAGAGCACAGGTGCAGACAGGAAGTGATCAGAGGCGGAGCACAGGTGCTGACAGGAAGTGATCAGAGGCGGAGCACAGGTGCTGACAGGAAGTGATCAGAGGCGGAGCACAGGTGCTGACAGGAAGTGATCAGAGGCGGAGCACAGGTGCTGACAGGAAGTGATCAGAGGCAGAGCACAGGTGCTGACAGGAAGTGACCAGATAAGGTTGCCACCCGTCCCGTAAAATACGGAATCGTCCCATATTTTTCACTTTGATATTGCGTCCTGTTTTGAATCAATACGGGACGCGGTTTGTCCCATATTTCCAAGATTCCTTGAACTCAGCATCATTCAGCCGGCTAGTTCACGCCTCCTCAGAGCGTCCGTTGGTTTGTTTAGTTCTTTTTTGGCATGAGCAATGAGAGAGCTCGTTAGTGATTGGGTGAGACAAAGTCATAGGAGTCAGAAGGAAACATGTCTGCCTCTGATTCCTGCACCGTGCACCATAGAAATGTAAACAGATGCAGAAATACAGATGTGAGTAGAAAGTAATGCCTGGCTTGACAGTGTCGGTGAAAATGAATATAATGTAAAGGAAACTATTGTAGGCCTGCTTCATATATTTTCTCCCATGTTTATAGATATAGATTCCAGTATAGTTTGGATAGTGTGAATATTTTTTGGTACATAAAACAAAAAGATGACATTTATTTTAGCCTAATCTGTATTCACAGTATGGCCTGGGCGAGATATCATCAATACAACATCAATATATCGACAGTAGACACTTAATTAATACAATAAGAAAATAGTTCAAAGCCATATTAATAGTATCATTCATGATTTCATGAGAAAACAACAAAAACGAAAGACAGAATAAATGAATGAATGAAAATACTATTCAATTCTTACTGTTTATTTAATTAAAAATCTGTCCTCCTCCCCTCTATGTTACAGCAGTGTCAAAAGCACTTCAATAATACTCTGTTAATGAATTTATGTTAAGTTAATAACTTTATTTGAAGTTTAAGTTAAGTTGGAAATTAGATAGGCCTAGCTAGTAGTAAGCATCTGCTGAAGTCCTGTTAGGGGTTAGGGTTGTGTTTTTGTAAATTATTTCAGAAAAAAAAGTGTTAATAAAGCACTTTAAGTATGACTCTTATTACTTCATTAAAACCACATTTTAAACCATGATTCACCACAACTGGTGCCCCAACCCACCGTTGGGCCAGTGGTGGTCAGGCCCCTACTGAGTTGCACCCCGCTGCGGGGTGTCCCTTATTTTTCTGCTTGGAAGGTGGCAACCCTATGACCAGAGGCAGAGCACTTTTTGTTAAAGGTGCAAAGGGACTCTGCAGATCAAATGGATTGGGAGAACATGCAGACTCCACACAGAGAGGCTCCTGTCAGACGGGGATTCAAACCAGGAACCTCCTCGCTGTAAGGAAACAACGCTAACCACTGCAGCACCGTGCAGCCCCATAAAATAATTAAAAGGTAATCATTTAAGATGAACCAGAATCTAAATGTGTAAAAAAAAACGTCATGCAGAGTTTCTGTGAAAGTGACGTCTGTAACGCTGTGACTGTGTCCTTCCTGTTTTCACTTCTCGCTCCCTTCTCGGTATCCTATCTGCTGACTCACTTTGTGATCTTCAACTTCTCCGAGTTCGTCTTCACATGAACACAAGTTTTTTAAAACACTTTTCTTGTGAAAAGTGATGGCATCGTTTCTGAGCAGGTCACACGATGTTTCCCTGATCCAACAGGCGGAGACTTAAAGATTCAAAATAAAAGTTTAATTCAAATAAAATAACGTTTTCACTTCTTCTTACATGAAGAGGAGTGTAGGTATGACACCGTGCGTATAGTAAGTTCTAGACGGAGGATGATTGGAAAGGGAAGACAGGATCCTTAAACCTTAAAAACAGGAAACTGCGGTTTCATTTCTCTCTGTTTTCACATTAAACCATGAAAGCAGGAACAATAAGTCGACTAATTAAGTGAAAGAGTTTTTTCTAAAAGTTTGTTCACAAAATTCACGGCTGGACAGTTTCAGAGATTCATGATGAGGAAGTGAAAGTAACATCTGCTTTTACTTTACTACGACACTATGACATCATGTACTCCTTAAATCTGACTACACTAGACAATTTTATGCCCAATAAGCAGAACTGCACTGCATTCTTTTGAAAAATGGAGAGAGGTTGTAATGCAGAAAAAATTGCAGACCAATGCAGAGCTGACTAAACACAGAAGCCATGTCTGTACCATGTTCCTCTAACTCTAATATGTGTCTCTAGTCCGTCTACAAACCCCCCAATGATGAGAAAAGTCCATCCTCTCCGTCTTTCACCTGCTCCACTTTTCAGAAAATGTGTGCTCAAACAGGCCGTTTGAAGATTTTCCCTTCATGACATCACAAAGGGCAGTAGCCCCTCCCTCAGGTCGGTGACACTCCCACAGCTAGGTGTTTGTTCTGCCCTCTGAGTCTGCGCTCTTTAGTTAGCTCGTAGCTTCACATTGCATGTAATTTACATGGTATGACCATGATCTAAAAATGCTTATGTTCAATTTCCACAACTTCTCCTCGGTGAGTTTTAAACTTTGAGAATTTGAATTTCTGAATAAGATTCCTTCATGGAAACAAACGAGGAAGTTAAAAAAAAGGGAACAGATACGTCTTGTCATTTCTTCACCCCATTCCCATGAACCAGTGAACTCACTCACACCACAATACCACACACACACACACACATTAACATGAGGCAGATATTGTGTCATTAAAAATCCAGGTCAGGGCCAAAAGAGAAGTCCAGCTAGGATTTGGGGCGCACTCACACTTGGCCCAGTTGTCCCGTATCGGGCTGTAGCATGATTGCCCCCCCTCCCCATTCTCTCGCTGGCCTGCACTCATACTGCTCCAGGACTATCCGGGCCTGAGCTCGGTTACCACTTGTACATAATGTCGTTATACAACACATCATCAATCAATCAATTTTTATTTGTATAGCGTCAACTCATAACAAGTGTTATCTCGAGACACTTTACAAAAAGCAGGTAAAAGACCTTACTCTTTGTCTTTTAACGGTTCCCCGGCTCATGACGAAACAGCCTTCACAGGCCTAGACTGCGCCAGGCTTGGACAGGGATAAGAGGTGGTTAGTGACTGAGATTTACAGATAGATACATGCAGTAATATGATGTACTGTATATGATAACCTTCTGTTTTAGGGGAGCAATCGAATCCAGAGTAACTCTCAGCGAATCCACTGCACTATCAACAAACTGATCCAGCTGAGTTGACTAAAGCTATTGTAAGAGTTTCCAACTGGGACTTCTAGAGAGCACATTTTTATTAAGCAGAGATAATTCTGGTAGGACAAAGTCGAAAGTAATAAGAAAATGGTCTGATAGAAGAAGATTTTCTAGGAAAACAAAGGTTTTGGATTTCAATGCCAGAAGCTAAAACAAGATCCAGGGTGTGGTTAAAACGATGAGTAGGTTCGTTCACACCCTGGGTGAAACCAATAGAGTCTAATAATGACATGAAAGCTGTCCTAAGACTATCATTATCAACATCCACATGGATATTGAAGTCACCTACAACAATTATTCTATCACTGCTAAGGACTACATTTGATAAAAATTCTGCAAATTCAGATTGAAATTCAGAATATGGGCCAGGAGGGCGGTAAACTACAACAACTAGAACTGGCTGAAAGGTTCTTGAAACTGGATGTGAAAGACTAAGAACAAGGCTTTCAAAAGAAGAAAAATTCAGCTTTGGTCGAGGGTTAACTAGAAGCCTAGAATTAAAAATAGCTGCTACTCCACCAGCTCGTCCGGTGTCTCGAGGTATATGAGTACTAAAATAACTGGGAGGAGTGGATTCATTTAAACTAACATATTCATCTCGATACAGCCAGGTTTCAGTCAAACAAAGTAAATCAGTATGCTGATCTGATATCAGATCATTCACTAAAAGAGATTTGGATGCTAAGGACCTAATGTTCAAAAGTCTGCAGTGAATTGTCTGATTTTTTTGCAAAATCGTATTCGTAGTTTTGATTCTAATGAGATTTTGACGATTTACGCCTTTTTTTCTACGTTTGGATGACTTATAAAAACGGATCTGGACCAGGGGACAGACACAGTACCTATAGTATAAT